CAGGAATTGGGGAGGGGGGCACCGGGATGGGGATCCCAGGGCCGGTTCTGGGGGGGTTGGAGCTGCTGGATCCCAGGGATGGATCCCGGTCCTGGATCCAGAACCTTCTGCCGTGTCCCGGAGCGGATCCTGGTTCTGGATCCAGAACCTTCTGCTGTGTCCGGGAGCGGATCCTGGTTCTGAATCCAGAGCTCGGTGCCGTGTCTGGGAGCGGATCCTGGTTCTGGATCCAGAGCTCGGTGCCGTGTCCGGGAGCAGATCCCGGTCCTGGATCCAGAACCTTCTGCCGTGTCCGGGAGCGGATCCCGGTCCTGGATCCAGAACTCGGTGCCGTGTCTGGGAGCGGATCCCGGCGCTGGATCCGGTTGCTGCTCCCCGGTCTGGGCTCGTCCGCGGCTCCCGAACGTTCCCGCAGCATTCCGCGCCCCTGGCTCGCTCCCCGGGCCGCTCCCGATGGTTCCCGGCTCCGTGTGACCGGTTCTGGATCGCCCGCGGGCTCTCCCGGCTCTCCGTGCGCTCCCGAATCCTCGCTGGCGGTTTGGGGTCACCCGGAGCCGTCCCGACCCCCGGCTCCGCTCAGATCTGCCCGTGCCGGGCCTCGTAGCGCGCCAGGATCCCGCGGAAGCGCTGGAGCTCGCGGCGTGCCGCCGCCACCTCGACGCGCAGCGCGGCGTTCTCGCGCTCCAGGAACGCCGCCCGCACCGAGATCTGGTTCTCCTTCAGCCGCCGCGCGTCCCGCGAGCGCTTGGCCGCCGCGTTGTTCCGCGAGCGCCGGCTCCAGTACTTCTCATCCTGCCGGGAGCGCGGCCTCAGGGAGCGCCGGGGAGCCGGCCCGGAGCGAGGGGTGGGCACCGGGAATCGCCCAGGGACACCGGGATCCAGCCGGCAATGAGGGATGGGCACCGGGAATCGCCCGGGAGTGAGGGATAGGCACCGAGGATGAGGGGATGGACATCAGGAATGAGGGATGGACACCGAGATCCAGCTGGGAGTGAGGGATGGAGACTGGGAATCGCCCAGGGACACCGGGATCCAGCCGGCAATGAGGGATGGGCACCGGGAATCGCCCGGGAGTGAGGGATGGACACCGGGATCCACCCAGGGATGAGGGATGGGCACCGGGAATTGCTCAGGGATGAGGGATGGGCACCGGGAATCACCCATGGACATTTGGATCCACCCAGGGATTTGGGAGCACACGGGAATCACCCCGGGGACATTGGGATCCACCCCAGGGGGACGCAGGAACCCCCAGCACCGACCCCACAAATCCCAAACCCGCGGGTACGGGTGGAAACCCCAAACCTGTGACTCCCCCTCCCCGAACCCACCCCCCGGGCGGGCGGGGGTCGCACCTTCTGCTCCTCGGGCACGTGCACCTTGCGGGCCTTGCGGGCGATGGGCTGCGGCCGCAGCTCCTCCTGCGAGAAGCGGAGCCGCCGGGGGTCGAACG